TTTATATCCGATATGTTTGAACCAAGAGCATTAAATGTTCCAATTATTATAATTAAATTCTCAAAAGCATTGAATAATTTTTTAAAAAAATTGTTTAATACCTTTCTATGATTAAAATTTTTTCGTAATAATATTTTTATTCTTAATTCTTTCTTCTACAAACTTTCTAAACTTTAGATACTCTAGTTTTATTTATTGATTTTTATCTTGTTCAATCTTTGAAAAAAAAACTCTTCTGAAAGTATTTTTGTAAGCTATCAAAGAACGCGCGTCTAAATTTAAATAAATAAATGGTATTTACCATCAATAATACATTTTTACAGATAGATACATTTTTTTATTTTTCTACTGACCTTGAAGTATGACCTAAGCTGAGAGAGCAAGGAAAAAAGTTATTGTAAGCATTAGGCAACAAAAAATACAAAGAGATTGTTTTCAAAAACATATATCTAAGAGCAGCGATACAGAACACTCCACCAAAAGTCGATTAAATGTTATATTTTCAATTGTTTAAAGCACCCGGAAAGAGCATTAATTACATCCACATTTGGTTTGATCGTATTACATTCTTTATTATCAACATATTTGTTTTTATTAATGTAAGCTTAAAAACATCCTCGAATATTAAATGAATTCGCATTTTCCTTTTGTGCTATATTTTTATTTATTAATTCTTGTATGAATGGATTAAATATTTAATTAATTTCGTTTATTTACTCGCTGAATCGCTTCAGAAGAAAGGAAAAAATGACGTTTTGTTTTTCATTCTATCATATGATAAAGGGAATTTGTTTTATTAATTTTAATATTATTATATTTAAAGCTGATTTCGTTCCTTTTGTGAATATTTACAGTTGTTTAGAATTGTGATATGTATAATTTACTGATTTATATGATAAATAATAATAAATAAATAAATAATAAAGGAACATTTAATAATTCATTTTTGAAGCGAAAACTTCTTAAGGAGCGTTTTGCACCTTTTTTTTGGAGAGTGAATTAGATTGATCCTTCAAATTCCCGAAGTGTTAACGCTCTGGTACATAGAATAAGATATCTCAAAAACTATAAATCAGAAATGTGTATTATTAGCTAGGGGAATGTTCATCATTTCATTCTCTTTGTAATGAGATATTATTCAAAATTGTATCTAAACACGACGCTATGTTAGGGAGGCGAAAAGGGAATAAATAGTGCCGAAAACCAAATGACAACGAGTTTTATTGAAGATAAGGATTAAAATATCTCAGAACTAAAAATCGGACCTGCATACTGTAAATGATGGGATTGTTCAAAATTTCATTCTCTCTGTAATGGGCTTATTATTCAAAACTAGTAGGCCCGTGCGAAAAATTCGCACATCATATTGTTATCAAAGATGCCGGATTAATAAGAAAATAAAATAACGCAACCTATCAAAAGATAAAGAAATCAAATTTTACTTTATCGATAAATATAATCGACAAAGAAAACAAAAATTAATTTAAATCTTCATTTTTGTTTGAAACCAATATGTTCACAAATTTCAGTAAGCTGTATCTTTGCTAAAAATTGTCCGATTTCGATGATTATTTTTTTCATTGTGTAGGGAATTTAGTAATCTTTTATGTAATCACGGACATAACCCAGGAAAAAGTGTGTAATTTTTTAGTTATTCGAAAATAAAGTTTGTTTTCTTTTATAACTTTTTTGCCTGAATTTTCAGGGTGATTGGACTATTTTGTCCGCCTGAAGGAGAAGGAAGCCTTCGAAATTGGTGGCTCGATCTTGAGATTTGGTGAAAAATTAACGATGATATGGCTTACCGATCAAATACACCATCGATAAATAATATAAACTACTCCTCTCTCGATCATAGAGACCTCAAATCGACGAAATGAGACATGTATTCAATGACAGTACTACAATTAATGTAAGGCTGTGTGGATGCGAACCCTATGCATTGCATTATCTCGAAAATAGTACGTTTTTGGGCTTAAAAACGCAGTATCCGATAGTTCCGGAGGAACTATCCGGGTCTTACTGTACGCATCAAATTCTTCTAGATCCAATTTGTCCTGTATCGATCTACAGACCTACTGTATTGAAGCCTGTTGTATTGTTCAGGTATTGAAGCCTGGCAAAATGTTTATATCAAATTTATTTATTTTAGAAAGAAAACCAAAAGTGGAGAATACGATTCGCTAACCCCCGTGAAATTCTGATTCCAATGGTACCCCATTCATGGTATTTGAGCATGACAGGAGCTTATATTTGGTACAAAACCGATTTCGAGCCTTACTGTAATAATATATGTGCGGATTGTATCTTAACACTACGCTGTATTAGAGAGGCGAAAAGGAAAAAATAGTGTCAAAAACCAAACGATAACGAGTTTTATAGAAGATGTGAATTATAATACCTCAGAACTTAAAATCGGACCTGCATACTGTAAGCGAGGAAAAATCCAGCATTTCATCCTCTTTATAACGAGCTATTATTTATAATTTATATTTAAAAATTATTAATCTTGCCTTGTTGATATTTTCACTTGTATCGTGTAGTCTAAAGCACACACCTTTGTTTATCTTTATCATAGTTGACAATTATTAATATGTTTATAAATATTTATTCATTCATATTATTGACGGATTTTTTTTAATTATCAAAGTATGATCAGTGAAGAAAAATATAATAATTTATCTATCTGTAATAGATATAATGATAGTTTTAGAGATAAGAGTCAATTCGAAGAATAAACATACCTTGAAACTTTCATGATTCTTTTTTTACTCTATTAATTATCCAAAAACATAAATTCAATTATGAATTACACATAATAAATTATCTACGCTTAAATTAATACATAATATCTTAAATTAATAATCTCATTTATTAGGTAATTACTTATATAAAAAATAATCGCACGATTTTTCATTCAGACCAAAAGTCTTCTTCAAACAATGCTATACTGACTTTTTTCTAGTATTAAAGAATTTAATTACTATTTCAGTTGATGTCAAACAATTAACTGAAGTAGTGATTGAGTTCTCATTAATGATTCAATTTAAGTAATATACTTGAGACTCTGTACTCAGAGTAGCAATTATACACAAAGTACGAAGAAATGGTAAGTCTGACAACATTCCCATCTTGTATATTATACATATTTACTTAACTTACAAATCTCAAATTTGTCTACACCCCTATACTTTATACATGTACAGATGAAAACACGTGCATCCTCACAATAAGCAAACACACCAAGTCTAAAATACTTATGCGATTTATTTCTAATAATTCTGCAAGAAATGATTATATCCTGCACGAGATAATCAACAACACGGGCAAAAAAGGCAAGAACCTAGGGGAGTTCTGATTGTAAGATAATTCGATGATTGCAGAACAGATACATCAAGATGTTTCAATCATAAAAAGACAAATAAAAGATGTTTCCTTGACGTACACTAGAACTATTGCAACATTGTTATAAACAATAAGAAAATTAATCATTACTTAATTTTAAAGCAATAAGTGATCCGATTCAAATATCTAGTTCTGAACTCAAAACATGAAATAACCATTTTTTTTTTTTTTTAGAATAACAGAATTATTAAATATGAATTTAATCTTTATGTATAAGCAAGACAATAAATAATAAACAATATTAGATTTCAAAAATTGCACATTTTACGGTACTGTAAATTTTTGATTCCTTTCCTCTCCGAATGCTCTATGCATTTTAATTAATAATTAATAAACGATATGAGAATAAAATATAAAACTGAAGAAAATCTTGAATTAGTAACGGAAAAATCTCAATATACTAGTATAAAAACATCTATTCTTAACATTTTTTTTTCCCTTCTGACTATATTTAAGTCATTTATTTTAACTTATTTATTAATTCATTATCTTAAACATTTCTTCCTTTCATCTTATCAATAGGTCGAAATAGGTATAATAGGTAAATTAGATCTTCGATAAAATATGAGGAGAAAACATAAATTATTAATATATTTCAAAAACAAAAAAATTGTTCATTATTTTTACGTATCTAATTATATTTCTAATTTATTATCTTTTCTTGTTTCTATTTAGTTACCCGAAATTTAGTTGGGCATTTCGGGTAACTAAATAGAAACTCTACATATCTCTACATATCTTGGAGCTTAATAAGACTGTATAATTACTTTGAATACACAGACTTGAGTATATTTTGTATGAAGTTGCATATTACTAACGTATTCATTTGACCAAAAATCGCTTCAGAATTCCCAGAAAAGAAACTTTACATGACATTCATTTAACTTTGTGTTATTATAAAAGGTATAAAATCCACACTAATGAAGTGGTTTAGTAAAAAAAAAAAATAATATCGGAACAATTTCAAATTGTTTAGGTATTTCAATTACATAAAAATAAAAACTAATCAACTACATTCATCTAAGCAGTATCACCCCAACCAAATCTTACAAAAATAATTAATGAAATTTTATGTATTTTACTTCCCCTTTTTTTTCAAAAAGGTCTTAATTATGAAGCATCGAACATATATTTTTATATACATCTATTTTAATTTATATAAATAAATTTACATTGTTAAAAAATATTTTTTCATTTCTTATTCAAGACAAGCCTATTCATAAACATAGCAGAGGCATAAGAAAATCGATTAAAAATACTACGAGCCTAAGGTGAGGGTTTGTACGCTTGCGCCTAAAACTTAAATCCTACACGTGCTCCCCCCCTGAAGATTCTTTAGTGCATACTTGTCTTTCCTTATAGGTGTTCTGGAATTTGAGTGGTACGAATCGAAATTTCATAGCTAATGTTAATTATCTGTTTAATTAATTATTTTATACAGGAATTAAATCAATAAGTAATTAATAACAAAATTCTATTTAAAATTAAATTATTTGGAATTGGAAACTTACATTTAATTTTTTTTTTTAATTGTTTTGATAATTTTTAAATCATTTTAATTACGATTAAAATAATATAATATTTTTTCTACTCACCCGTGAAAGAAATATTGACGAATTTCCCCGGCGAAGAGAAGGCAGGAGTATAGGATACGTGCTGTTCTTGAGAGTTGAGAACTGAGACTGGACGGCGCTGGTAGTGGGGAGTTGGATGACTCATTGCACCTCCAACAGGTACCTCAGTCAGTATTCTGTCTCCGGGGGATTTCTGGAAAATAAAAATACTCCAGCAAGCCTTATAGAAATCACATCTTAAGTTCTATTTATTGAAATTTCAAATTTGGAAATAATGAAGATGAAATCTAATTAAAATAAATATATAAAAACTTGTTTATTCAATTCCCTCTGGACTAAAGCAACGAATCCTTGTCCTACAGTATTCATCAATAATATTCCACCTATCCCTATTGAACATGTTCACCTAGGACTTTGAAAAACATCTTATTTGGAATTCATATTACAAGACAAACTACAAACTATGTTTCCGGTTACTCCAACACTCACTAGACAAATGCTCTAAGCTTTCAATTAATTTCGAATAAAATCATTCTTAAAGACCTTAAGTGCTATTGGTCTATGATTTGGGCCGAGACAGATACCTATTCTTTCATGATTAACTCTAGACCCATCTTAAACAACTTGTTTCAGGCCTTACTTCCTCCTCGATTCCAGATTAATCCTCCCACGCATCTGAAAAAAAAGATGGCCTCGGGATCTTCTTACTTAGATCTATTTAGAGTTTTATTTATATAGAGTAAGGCAGAGCCCTTAAAAACAAAAAAAACAAAAATTATTTACAAATGTTTCTGGAAAGTGTTACTCCCTATTCGGCCGAATCTTGGGCAATTAAATGGAGTCAATTAAAACGATTACTGGCCCTAGAAATAGACTATTGGAGACGATCATGTGGTGTCTCCCGCCTTCAAAAAGTTTCAAATTGTAAAATAAAGGAACGAATAGAACAAATGGAGAAGATTCTCCATGAGAATGTAAGAGGAACGATGGCCTAAGCGAATTTAGGAATGGAAACCAGAAAGAAGGCGGAAGAAACGTCACTCGAAGAGAAACTGGTATGAAGGCGTAAAGGAAGGAATGATGAACAGGGGCATGCATGAAGACTGGCAGGACAGAAGATGGCAAAAACTTATAATTGGTGACGACATATGATCAATGTTGTAAAAGTCGTGAAATAAATAAAATAATTTATTTAATGCAGTCGAGAATTTCAAAAAATATTATTATTCTTCCATAGTGGATACATCTCAACATATTTTGCTACTGTTGTCAATCCACTTTCATGGGTGGCTCAAGATCTCATTATCACACCATAAATGGAATTCCGAGCATGGCTGAGAATGCCTGATTGTAGACGAAGGTGAACGAATCGTCTGATAAGACCCCGACCTCTACTGAAAAGGGGCTGTTGAGGGTTTGTTTATCCCTTTACAAGTCAAGAGCAGCGTTGTAATTAAAGCTAATTTAAACTCTGATTTTACTTGGAAAGGACTCTGGGGGGTGGAGAGGCTGCGCAGACTAAGACGTCTTTCATGAAATGGAGAAATAAGGGTGATATATTTCCTTGAACATCAAACTCAATTTCTAACATAAGTTTTGGCTGAGGAAAGAAATGAGTCTTCGTTTCAGTCTGCAGAGATGCGGGATGGTTATTCTGATGACTTTGTTCTTTGCTGAGAGACTGAGATACCCAAAAGAGGCGGAAGAGTGAAGGCACAGGGCACATGGACTACTTCAAAAAATCTAGGTGATAAATAGTCAGGACGCAGCATATTACCAGCACTGAGCGTTACAAGCTAAGTACTGGTAACATGCCCTGATGATGACCCATATGCTTGGGTTGAAACGTCAGCACCAATAAAAACCTTAAAAAATACTGCTTTCTGAGTAAAAGAATGTAAATTACTTTTAGTAAATGATAAATATCTCTAATTGTATTATAGTAAATAATAAAAAATGGCTTTTGCAATAAAAATTTGTTTATTGTAAATCTTTTTTATGTTGTAATACTATTTGAATCATTTCATTAATATTTAAAATGTTAATTATGGTTCCATTGCAAATATTTTGATCAATTCCTATTTATAGTTACAGAACTAGATATATTTGTTTAACTATTAATATTCAGATATTATTTCCCCACAGTTGTTTTTTTTTTTTTTTTTTCCTTAATTCTTCAACAAATCCAGTGATGGAGACATTATTTTGAAGTTTATCTACTCCTGAGCACATCGCTCAGAATGGTAAGAAAAAAAGTGTTGAAAAAATGAAATTTTATTCGGGCATTACCCGAAATATATAAAATTTATTATTGATATTTTAAATACTACTGAACTTACTATTGATATTTTCATATGTTTCTGAACTTGCTACAAACTTATTTTAAAAACTCATAGATATCGGGCCATTACTAACAATACAACAGCCTATTTTATTTTATACAAATGTTTTGATTAATTATTTTTGAATAATGATAATTGTAATCGACAGAGAAAACAAAATTAACTCCTGCCTCACATAGCATATTGCATTGACTCATTTTCCATATTATATCAGCATTTGTTCACTGACTAACATACTTTACTAAAATTATTCGCATGGTGCCAAATAGTTACTTATAAGTAACTAGTTGGCACTATTAGTTAACTAGTAATGATTACTAAAGTACAAATAATGTAAAGAAGTTAACCTTAGTTAATTAAAATCAATATACTGAGCTTATTCCCTGAGCAGTAATTTAAGTTATTCCTTTTTTTCTTAAATAATTTTGATTAAGCCTTTATCCAATTGTATCCCAAAAAATATTTATGAGTATGAAACTTAGACGTTTTGAAGATTACAGTCTCCTCCAATGCCTAAGATTAAGTATATCCCCCCGAAGAAGAAAGAAAACAGCCTTATAAATTATACTTGGAAATTATATTTTCAAAAGCAATTTTCTATAAATATCCAATTAAGATTAAATTCATAAAATTTGCTTGTTGTTTTTCAATATTAAGGTATTAAAAGATCCTAATATTCGTTAATGCTAATAAATAACCGTTACTATTTTGTAAGCAATTACACGCTCGTTTCCTGCTCCACTCATACCCGTTATGGCAGGAACGAGTTTTAAATTATTTAGCCTGAATCGGTGAAAGGTCTCAATTTGTGGAAGCATTACAAAATTCTATCCCCAACCCTAAATAGCAGACCGCAACGTACATAACATTATTGGTCACTTTTGTTAATATTATTTACATTATCACAGCAGGCTATTTCACAGTGAATTATACATCTTATTTATTTAATTCACTATAGACCGTGGTACAGACCCCTTTTTATTAAATTATTAACATCCACCTACAACTAAGCAATACTTATTTACTTTCCTCTTGAATCGTAACATAATATGATCATATAATCGAAAAAATAAAAAAGGTGGCCTACAAAAGTATTGTAAACTTTTGCCTATATAATCTAGTTATTTATATATATTAATCGAGGTCACGCCAAACGGCCCAATATTTTTGGTAGGCCAATTTTTTTTTCTGTTTTGTGACCATATTGTCACCATACTATCAAACTGGAATTCAAATGGGTATTCATGAATTTTTAGAATCTAATTACATAGACAAAGTTTGCCGACCTGCAGATTGAATAAAAAAATTCCGAGAACTTTCGTTAATAAAATATATTTAGGTTACGATGAGATGAAACTATTTACGAAGTTTTAAGCTGATGTTAATAATTTGAATAAAAAGGTGTCTTTTGTGTTGCCCAAATGAGACGAGTCTTGGTCTTGTAAACTCAGTCTTAGTCATGGTCTTAGTCTTGCGCTAGAGCGTCGCAACAGACTTGCAGTTATTTATTAGCTTATTACTATAGAGATATTACTGTCTTTTTTTAAATAGGAGAAACCTGACTAAGCCCGAATGAAAAATTAGAGGAGTTAAATGCAAAAGTATATTTGTTATACCAATTATTAACATATAGTAGCTAAAATTGTCAAGTATTAGTAACTATTTTGCCTTCATTTTTATTTTGAAAATCGATTTTTTTACAAGTCCTGGTCTTGGTCTTGCAACAGCTAGGCGGCCGATTTTGGGCAACACTAGTGTCTGTACCACTCAATACTATCGATTATTTCGGAACTTGAAATTTATTTTATTCAATGGTTTCAATTTGTAAAGCTACTTTTAGACACTTCGCAAACTATGGGAAACAAATGTAGAAATCAGTTATTTCTTTAAGAAACTGTTTTTGTTTGTACTCGTTCGATCTGAGGTCCGTTTTCAAGAGAAATCTATGAGTTTGGGTATGCGCTAGTATTGCTTTTGGATATTTGTTTACTGTTCATTTCTTTGCTTTAGAGATAAAAATTTAATGGTCCCTGATTACTTTATTTACCATACTTTATTTACAATCTCCTATGACAGATTTTACGCCTTCTTTCATTTTCTTTTGTTTCTTGTTATGGTTTTCTTTTTTTTATATATATATATAGGGCCAGTACCCCTTCATCGGAAAAAAAATATTTCGCTTTCAAACCCAAAACAGAAAGAAAACCGGACAGATCTAATCGGCAACGACTTAAGGCGCGGAAACGGAACATGTTTTTTGGTACCTGGAATGTTCAAGGTTTGAGGACCAAGAAAAACGAAGTGGAAAATGAACTGATAAAGCAAAATATCGATGTGGCAGTCCTCAGTGAAACTAAAATCAAAGGAAGTTACAATGAACTTTCAGGAGATTTCGTGTATATCTACAGTGGAGTAGAAAAAAGTGAGAGAGCTAGAGCTGGGGTTGCAGTGGTGATTAACAAAAGATTGCGCAGGTATATTAAAAATTATGAATGTGTAAATGAAAGAATAATTAAACTCGAAATGGCATTGTTTGGAGAAGAGGTTGTTATTTTTGGGATCTATGCTCCAACTGAAGATTCCAAGCAATCCATAAAAGACACGTTTTTCGATGATATTTGCGACTTAATAGAGCGAACACCTGATCGTAAGATTGTTATCTGTTTGGGCGACTTCAACGGACGTGTTGGCAGCAAGTTCAACGATGAGACCGTGGGACGCTTTGGAGAAGAGGTAACTAACGATAACGGTGCAAGATTAATAAGTTTATGTCAGCAATTAAACATGAAAATATTAAATGGATTCTTCAAGC